AGTATTCAGGTATTTGTTTTCAATCTCATTTATTCTGTCTTCCATTGCATCAATTCTACTCCTTTGCCCTTCCAATGTGTTATCTATTTCTGACAATTTAGTATTAATCTTTTGGAGTTCTGTCTGTGGATTTAGAATCATTTCTAATTTTTAATTTATTTTGTCATTTTGTTCTTGTATTTTCTTCCAAAATTCTTCTAGGGTTTTATTCTGTGTTTTCTTTGGTTTGTCTCTCAATCCTTTGAAGATACCTAAATATAATTCTTTTGAATTCTTTATCAGAGTTCCAATGCTGCTTCTTCCTCAGGGATGTGTTCTTGGTCTGTATCCTGCTCTCTTGTTTCTACCACCGTATCCTGCTTCTTTGTGTGGACTGTGATGGTCTGTTGTCTCCAAGGCATTGTGGCGTTGTATTTATATCTGTGTTAACTGTTTGTGAAGAGCAGCCATGCGTAATTCAGGCTCTTCCTGGTGGTTTTTTATCGTTGGCCCATTGGTGGAGAAGGAGGGAGTGGCTCTCGCTTAGTAAGTGAAGTTGCAGAAGGTGTGGGTGTAGTTGTGTCTTTTCGGGACTGTTGTTGTCTCCCACTGAGTTAGATGCAAATTACAATTGAATAACCATCAAAAAACTAAAAGCCCATGGATAAAAAACACACCATGTAACCACATAGGAACAGTAACCAAGAAAAGAAAAAATGGCAAAAGAGGAAGAAAAAACAAGAAAACTTGCAATATCTGTGGATAGGGCACTTAGAGAAAAAAAGTAGAAAATGAGCCTAATGAAGGAAAAAAATGGGAAAATTGCAAAAAGAAAAATAAGGAATGGCTTTAACCACAAAAAAAGGGGCAAAAAAACCCACTTAAATGAAAAGAAAAATTTTTCAACCAGCAACAGGGAAAAGAAAAAATGCTGAAACGTGGGATCCTGGAGGGGAAGATTAAGAATAATAATAAAGAGTACAAAAGTATTAATAATAATAGTTGTTTTAAAACAGAGAAATACAAGCAAACTAATCATCAGAAAAAAGAAAATGAAATAGAAAAAAAAATTGGTGGAGGACAGGGCAGGGCACCCAGGCTCCGTCTGAGCACAGAGACTGTGATGGAGTTCCTGTGGGCCCAGAAGGTAGGTGGGAGTGCGGGATGGCCGCACTTCCATTTACCAGGTGGGTGTGGGGCATAAGAGTAACAAAAGGAATGTGGTACCTTTTCACTCTTGCAGGTCTGGAGTGTCCTTGGGGTTGCTGGAAAGCAGAGAATATGTTCTTAAGCCCCAGGAATCTGTGAGAGCACTGTCTCTTTAAATGTTGAAAATTGTCAAGCCGCTTTTAAACCTTCAAAATGGTGGCGCCCTCCTCCTCCTGACTGGCAAATGTCCACACCTTAGCCCGCGCTTGTCTTCACCTTCTCCTTTTATTCCCCAGCCACCAGAGCAGTCCTCTGTGCAGTCTGTGGCTAGCAGGGCTGATTTTTAGGTTAATTCTTAGGTCCTACCACCACTTGGGAATCTCCAAGCTTACACATTTTGTTTTGTGACATTGATTGCAATCCCCACAATGTAACAATATTCTTCCCCTTTCCTCTTTGAGTTCCCCATTTCCAATCTTCCTTCTTTCTTGTTCCTTCCTGCCTTTTGTGCTTTGTTTTTGAACAAATACTGCCCTTTTGGTCTTATGTGGTTGTCTGTTCTCAGGAGTACATTCTTTACAGTGTTATTGTTCATGTTATAGGCCTGTCTATTGTTTGGCTAAAAATGATCCCCCGTGGTGGATTCAGTTCAAGCTTTGAAGGATGACTAAGGGCTGCCTGTCTCTATCATACCAGTAAGCTGATCTTTTTATGATTGTAAATTTGTTCTACATTTTTCTCCCATTGTTTTGCAGATGTTCTTTGGTCCCAGTCAGAGCTATTGGTAGTGGTAGCCAGACAACATCTAGTATTTCTGGTCTCAGGATAGTAGAGGCTGCGGTTCACGTGGTCCATTAGTCAGTCCTTTAGACTAATCATTTTCTTAAGTCTTTGATCATCTTTGCTCTGGACAGGGAGAAACCAATAGTTGTGTCTTAATTTTGCTATTACATTTATAGCTCATGGTTTCACATATTGGAAACCAGTTCCCTGGGCTGATCAGAAGACCAACCTGGGATTGCTACTTTATGTATGATTTTTTTGTTTAAAATTATATTTGATAAGCCACTTATAATAATTCATATATTTGTTTTTTGAAGCTTAAACTAATTATTGGCTTTGTGGAAAAGAAAGTTGGACCTACATGCAGTTCTTCCACTAGTAAATCTTAGATTTTTTATAATTAATCATATGGGCCAGAAATTAAAAAAAAAAAAAAAAAAAAAAGCCTCTTGCTGTCTAATATGAATCCAAAATTGCTTAAACTTTTACGATCATCTTAGAGCAAAGTTAAAATTAAATATTAGTCAAAATCCAAACCCATTGCCGGCAAGTCAATTCCGACTCATAATGAACTTAAAGGAAAGAGTAAAACTGCCCCATTTGGTTTCCAAGGCTGTAAATGTTAATGGAAACAGACTGCCACATCTTTCTCCCACAGAGTGGCTGATAGGTAGTTTTGAGCTGCCAACTTTTGGTTAGCTGTCTAAGGCTTTAAACCTTGCACCACAAGAGCTCTTTAGCAACCCTATAAGACAGAGTAGAACTGCTCCATAAGGTTTCCAAGGCTATAAATGTTTTTGGGAGCCGATTGCCTGATCTTTCTCCTGCAGAGTGGCTGGTGGATTCAGTTGAGCACTTTAACCAGTGAGCCACCAGGGCTCCTTAAGTATAACGTACATTTAAATAATTTTGAATTTGTAAGAGCTTCCCTCTCTGTAGTAAGAAAGTTAATGATGTAGTCTTTTAAATCTGAAAGTGATATGAACTATTAAAAAAAATAATGCATTGGAAGTTATTAGACCTGATTTTTGACTCTCTGAATTTGTATGCATAATTCAGTTTTCAATATTGTAATTTACAAGTTGGTAAATTGGGATACCTCTTTACCTTTCACTTCAAGAGGTAATGTAAAAATAGAATTTGAATGAATATTCATTTGTTCCCCTGGTAATAAAATACCCTGTGAGTTATGGCAATGGCATTACTAATTTGTGAAGAAATCTAAAAAATGATAAAAAAAAATTTTGTGTGTGTGTTTTTCTTTTAAGAGTAAAATACCAGTTGGAATTAAAGCTGGAAGTTCTAATAAGGTAAGTCACTTTTCTTTCTTGAGTATTCTGCTATAAGTAGTGAAGCTTAGCATTTACTACTTGACAGAGTGGTTACAACAGAGAACCATAATATGGTTAGTTGGAGACATTTTGCCTAAGAATCCCAAATCTCTAATTCTTACAGCAAACATTCTAGTTCCTTTACAATTAAATATATATAGCTTCTTTAAAGTTACATCAGTTCTGTTATGGAACCTCTAGAAGAGTCATAAAGTGTAATTATTGTGTCATATCGATAGGTGTTTTATCACACAAATGTATTTATTTCATTTTCTGTTTTGACTAGTCAGCCTGTTATTTTCAGTATTGTATTTTATACATAGCAAATAATTATCAAGATATTGTAAGCAGAACACTTTCAAATAATATTAAAAATATTGCTTTATTAAAGAGTACTCTTTCTTCTTGTGAACATGCCATGACTCACTTTGTAATTAATGTATTTTTAGATAACAGTCTACTTCTTGTTTTTCACTATTAGATGTCTGTAGAAAAGTTCATCATACTCTCTACTTCCTTCTTGTGCATCATCTCTCCATTTTTTTTCTTGCTGTCTTCCCTGTGTGGCCTTTTGTTTGTGCCCTCTTTATCCTTTTTTAACTTTTTATTGTGATGTAGTGAAAACTTACAGACAAAATTCATTTTCCATTCAACAATTCATGATATTTTGTTTCATAGCATTGATTGCAATCCCCACAGTGTAACAGCTCTCTTCCCACTTCCTCCCTGTGGTTACCTTTTCCCAGTGTCCTTCTGTCCTGTGCATTTGTGCTTTCTGAGCTTTATTCCTGCACAAATACTTCCCTTTTTGTCTGTTATGGTTGGTAATTCTAAGAAGTGCATACCTTCCTGATGTAATTGTTCACCTCGTAGGCCTGTCTGTTGCTCAGCTGAAAGTTGAGCCACAAGAGTAAGCTCAATTCCAGGCCTGAAGGGTCTTGGATCTGACTCATAGCGATCCCTCCTTGGGTTTTCAAGGCATTATCACTACAGAAAAGATTGCCTAACCTTCTTTCCGAGGAGTGGCTGGTGGGTTTGAACCGCCAGCCTTCTGCTTAGCAGTCAGATGCCTTAGGCACTATGCCACCAGAGCTCCCACAAAGGGCCACAGTCTCTATCAATATGAGATTTGTTCCACATTTTTCTTCCATTCTATCCAGTATCTCCAATTTTGATCCCCATTCCAAGTGGTTGGCAGTGGTAGCTGGGTACTGTCTAGTTCCTTTGGTCTCAGGGTCTTATAGGCTGAGTTTCCCATTCTCTGCTAGTCCTTTGGACTAATTGTTTCCATGTGTCTTTGATTTTCTTCATTCTTCTGTGCTCCAAATAAGGAGAGACCAATAATTACATCTTAGATTGTTGCTCACCAGCTTTTAAGACCCTAATTGCTACTCACCAAAGTAGGATGTAGAATGGTGTTTTTGTGAACCATGTAATACCATTTGAGCTTTATGTCCCCCATGACTATCATTCCAAGCCTGTATTCATTTTTGTTTCAGATCTATGATAATTAAGTGCAACAGTGTAAAGACAGTTGAAACCCCTTCTGAAAGTCTTCCCAATCCCATTCTGTTTCTTTTCTCCCCAGACTAACATACTTTTCTGAAGTTGATGTAGATCTTTCTATGGTTTTATACTTTCCTCACACATGGTTTCTACAATAATATATAGTTTTGTGTAAAATCTAAACATTTTTAAAATGATATTGTGTTTTTATACTGTTTCAGGTTAAATTTTTTTTTTGTTAGTAATTTTACTCAACATTATGCTTTTGAGATTTTTTTTTATCTCTATTGACATATATAGATCTTGTTTGTTCATATTAACAGCTATGTAGTATTCAATTGTGTGACCATATCACAAGTTAGCCATTTCTCTATTTATGGGCATTTCAGTTGTTTCTAGTATTTGCTATTATAAACAATGCTGCACTAACATCTTTGTCCTTTGCCTTTGTGTCCTTGTGCACACATGTAAGAGTTTTTCCAGATCTATATCTAGAAGTAGAATTGCTGGGTCATAGGGTAGGTATGCCTGACTCAATATTGTGATACAATACCAAATACTTTTCTGAAGTAGTTGTACCTCTTATTCTTTTCTTTTAATTGTTGCCTTGGGGTATGGTCTCAGTAGTGGGATTACTGGTTCAAGGATTTATATTTTTATAACTCTAGACATATGTTGTCAAATTACTTTCTCAAGATGTTTTTCTCAATTTATAGCATCACCCAATGCACCAATACTAATTTTAATATTTTTAATATCTTTGCTTTACTTATTTAATAGGTGAAAATTTATGCCTCATTTTCATTTGTATTACTTACATAGATAAAGGATTTTGATAATAGGATGTATCTACATTTAGTAGTATATATCATCACTGACAGATTGATTATTCTGCCATAACTTGAAATAAAGATAAGGTAATAATTATTATATTAAACTTCCTTGTGAACTTCCTTGTAGTACTTGAAAATGGCAAACAATACCAAAGAATTAGAAGACTGTGAGCAAGCTAATAAACTAGGAGCAATTAACAGCACATTAAGGTAAGTTTAATTTTCAAAAAATTTCATATTAAGAGAATATTCTCTTATTTAGTTTATTTGAATGAGAAATCTTTTGTTTTATATTTTTTAGGAATTTTATTTTTCTTACAATTTTGATAAAACTTTTGCTAACCATTAAATTTTCAACTAATAAATTTTTAAAGGGAGCTCTGGTAGCCTAGTGCCTAAGGCACTTGACTGCTAACCTGAAGGCTGGTGGTTCAAACCCATCAGCCACTCCTCGGAAGGAAGATGGGGCAATCTACTTCCGTAGTGATACTGCCTCAGAAACCCAAGGAGGGGTCGCTGTGAGTCGGGTCGGACTCGACAGCACATAACAACAACAACAACAACAGATTCTTAAAAGGACGAAGAAGTTACTCTTTAAAAAGTTGCTCCAACATATAGTAATGCGTTGTCAGTGAAGGCAAACATGGGTATACGGGTGGATAAATGGGTGGACTGGCTGAACTATTAAGTATGTCTGTGCAGCGGGGAGTGTACCTAAGGCCATGTATAGGGTTGGCAGACAATGGTTCTACAAGTGTATTTGTATGTTCTATAAGAATTTCTGTTCTGTAAGGTGTATAGAAGAGCTGATAAGGGACAAGGTTGTAGTCACTTCTTGGTCACAGCCAGTTACCCAGAGGGATTGAGTAGTTGAACCTGTGGACTCAGGACCATAGTTGCAGGGGACATCAAGCTCAATTGGCATAACTTACTACACAAAATATTGTTCCACCTCCTCCTTTGGTGAGTAGCGACTGGGATCTTAAAAGCTTGCAAGCAGCCATCTAGATGTAATGATGGGTCTCTCCTCATCCAGAGCAAAGAGTAAAGAAAACCAAAGATTCATGGAAACAATTAGTCCTAGTGACTGGTACACCATGTGATCCGCAGCCTATATGACTATGATATCAGAAGAACTAGATGGTGCCTGGCTACCACTGTCAACCACCTGGAGGAGGATCTATGTAGGAGATCCTGGAAAGAGGGAGAACAATGTGGAACAAAACTCCAAATCATTTGGAAAAAAAAGGGGGGGACCAAGTTTGCTGTTCTGATAGAGCCTGGTAGAATCACTAAGACTATGGCCCCTGGCTGCCCTTCGGGTCTGGAATTGAACCTACACCTGTGGCTTCTAGCCAAACAAAGGACAGGCATATGAGTTGAAAATTTACCTGAAATAGATACACTCCTTGGAGAGAGCAGTCATGGGAGAAAGAAGGGTTGTTTATGCACAGGCAGACAGCTCGGGGCGGGAGTGCATGGAGGAATGGACACAGGGAAAAGGTAACTACCGGAAAGAAGTAGGAGGAGAGCTGTTGCATTGAGGTAAATTGTAGTTAATGTCATGAGACAAAGTGTACATGAACTGCTATATGGAAAGAGAATTTGCTCTGTAAACTTTCACCCAAATCACAATTAAAAAAAAAAAAAGTTGCTCCCTCAAGCCCCTGAAACTATGGTCCCTAGTCACCCCTCAGGCCTGGAATTAAACTCACTCCCATGGCTTCTAGCCAAACAATAGATAGGCATATAAGGTGAAAATTTCCACCAGGTAGGTATTCTCCTTAGAACAATCAATCATGGGAGATCAAAGGGAACTATTTGCACAGGGAGATAGCTCAGAGGTCAGGAATGCAGGGAGGAAGTAGGAAGAAAGGATTGGCAATTGCAGTCAATGTCATGAAACAAAATGTGTATAAACTGTGTAGAAAATGAATTTGCTCTGAAAACTTTTACCTGAATCTCAATAAAATTAAATTTTTAAAAAAGTTGCTCCCTTTGGGTGATTTGCCTTTAAATTTCTAGACTGTATCATCAGTAGTAAAGCTATCAAAAAAATAGAAATTTAGAAGATTGCTCAGTTAGCAAGGCTTATTGACGCATTTTTCCTGAGTGGTATGGGAAAACGGGATTTTGAACCTTTATGTCTTTTATAAATTATATAATTCAATCTTTATGTTACATTTAGAGTGATAAATATTAATTATTAATATAACCATTACATTTCATAGATTTTTTTTCTGTTTACTTTTCCTCATTAGTACTAAGCAAAACTCTGCTTCTGAAGCTCAGCATAAATAATTTATAAACTGTTTCAGATTATGTAGTGTAAAATGACTGAAGATAGCTGTAGTTGGGGTATTGAATAATGTAAAAATACTTTTAAAGACTTTTCCTGTTTGTTTAGATTTGTATTTGTATATTATAATTGTTAAAAACTCATAATAAAATTAGCAGTCTTATGTATTATTTATTGAAACAAAAGTTTTAATATAGAAAAGTTCAAAGGACAATATAATAAACACCCACATACCCTCAATTCAAAATGAATAATAACATTGTCTACCATGTTTTGGGGAGCTCTGGTAGCGTAGTGCCTAAGGCACTTGACTGCTAACCAGAAGCCTGGCAGTTCAAACCCACCAGCCAGTTCTTGGAAGGAAGGTTGGGCAATCTACTTCTGTAGTGATACCGCCTTGGAAACCCAAGGAGGGGTCACTGTGAGTCAGGTCTGACTCAACAGCACATAACAACAACAACAACCATATTTTGAAGAAATGAGGGACATTACAGATAAATTTGAAGTCCCCTATGTCCTATTCCCTAGTTTAATTTTCATCTCTTCTTCTCTAGAGGCAGCTACTGTCATGAATTTAATGTATATCTAGTATGCAGTCTACATAATTATTTTCTTATACCTCATATGTATATTTATAGATAATAAGTAGTTGTATTTTGTGTGCCCAGTTTTATTTTTGTTTTGTATAAATGATGTAATACTGCACTTGCCATTCTACAGGTTTTTTTTTTTAGTGTATATTTTGCTTTCCAGATCTGTTCATATTGAAACACAGAAATGTATCCTAATCTATTCCTCTATCAGTAGACATGTAGATTGTCTTCAGTTTTTCACTTCTACAAACCATGCTGCATTGAGTATCCTTGAATATGTCTTGTGTGTGTGTGTGTGTGTGTGCATGCATGTGCAATGGAAGAAAAAAAATGCTAGATATTAAGATTGTCCATTTGCAATTGCTCTAGTTATTGCCTGATGGCTTGCAAAAGTGCCTATGTGAACGTATGTATGTACTGCCTGCAGTACTGCAAATTTCTTTTGTTTTCTAAATCTTTACCAAAAGTTGATGTTTAATGGATGTGAGAGTTTAGTTGTTTTTTTTTTAATGATTGTTTAATTTCTATTTTGTTGATGAATAGTGAGGTTGAACTTTTTTCATATGTTTATTGGATCTTTGGGTTTATTATTTATTCAACAATGTATAATAACCTATAATATGACAATCTCGATTCTAAGTTACTAGGAAAGTGCTGTGTACATGATAAACAAAATTCCTGTTCTCATGTCGCTTAACCCTAGTGGGAAGAGGTATACAGGAAATAAGTAAAATACATGCAAAGTAAGGAAAATGGTGATGAGTACTAGGGAGAAAAATTAAGCAGGGAAGAGGGACAGAGAGGGCTAAGAGTGAGGGAGTGGCACTGTTTGAAAAATGGTGGTCAGAGAAGGCTTGAGTGATAACAGGACATTTGATCAGAGAAGTGAAGAAAATGAAGGCATAAGTAATACAGCTATATGTGTATATGTCATATGTGTATTCCAGGCATTTGTATGTTAGTGAAAAGGTCCTGAGACAGAAGTATGCTTAGACTATTTGAGGAACCATAACGTGGACAGTGTGGCTGGAATATGTCAATTAAGAGCAAAGTAGTAGAAGATGCTAGTGAAGGGAGTGGGGTAGAAATCTAATAGAATCTTGAAAGCAATTATGAGTGAGTGGGATAAAAAGTTATTGGAGAATTTTGAGTAGAGGAGTAAGAGGTATGTTGCAGAAACCTGGTTATGTGGTTATTGTAGTAATCCAGATAAAACATTGTGGTGATTTAGGCCAGGGTGATATCAGTGGAAGTGATGAGAAATGGACAGATTCTGAATATATTTTGAAGATTGAGCTGATAGGATTTGCTGAAGGATTAGATGTAGGGTGTAAAAAGAAACTGATTATTAGCTTTGGGCCTGAAGAACTAGAAAACTGGAGTTGCCATTTACTGAACTGGGGGACTTGAAGGAGGGACAAGTTTGATAGAAAATTGGAGTTCAACTTTGTTAACTTTTGTTAAATTTGATCTTCCTAACCAGCAAGCTGGCAGTTCAAATTCACCAGCCACTCTTTGGAAGTAAGCTTGGGCAATCTACTTCCATAGTAATACTGCCTGGAAAACCCAAGGAAGGGTCGCTGTGAGTCGGATCTGACTCGACAGCAGTGGGTTTGTTTCTTTATGAGATCCAAAGGGGCCCTGGTGACAAGTTAAGTACTAGGGAACTAATGGAAAGATCAATGGTTCAAACACAACAGCTGCTCTGTGGGGAAAAGATGTGACAGTCTGCCTCCATAAAGATTTACATCCTTGGAAACTCTATGGGGGCAGTTCTGCTTTCTCCTACGGGGTCACTATGAGTCAGTACTGACTCCATGGCAGTGCTTTCAGTACTGTACCACCAGAGCTCCTTAATGAATATATGGTATTTAAAAATACTAAACCTGAATGAAATCACCAAGGAGAATGTATAGTCATTACAAACTTTAGAAGTGATTTACCTGTTCATATTCTTTGCCATTGTTTCTCCATTGGAGGACTGGCTTTTTAAATTACAGTTATTGATTTGTAGGCATTCTTTATGTAATCTGATAGTGATCTTTTGTTTGCTATGTATATATGGGTTGTTAAGGCTTGTATTTTAATTTTTTTTTGTTGAACAGAAGTTACTAATTAAAAAAAAAAAAAAAAAAAAAGTGGTGGCATAGTGCCTGAGTCATTTGACTGCTAACCAAAAGGCTGGTGATTCAAACCTATCAGCCACTCCTCAGAAGGAAGACTGGGTAATCTCTTTCTGTAGAGATACTGCCTCAGAAACCCAAGGAAGGAAAATAACAAATGCTGGCGAGGTTGTGGAGAGATTGGGACTCTCATAC